ATAATTTCAGTTATCGGGACAATGCATCACATTTGTCACCCTGATTCACTGTGAAGCAATAACATTTAAGATGGCTGAAATTTAATCAGAAGGCTTCAACACAATTACTGGTATCCGTGAGGAGGCCCTCCCCCACACAGTCTGCGCTCTCAGATACGCTCACATTTGTCATGCAAAACAATCTCTTCTCTGCTGTCAAAGAAACTAATGGGAAACACTGGCGCTTCTTTTACACTTTTGCGTAATGACAAATTTTTACTCTTTTAGCCAAAGCAGGATATTTACTGTTGCGTTAATTGGAAAATGTGTGGAAATTCAATCTATTATGCGTAGTTCAATGTAATCTGTCAAAAAGTAAACAGGTCTTTACCCAAATGTATTGACTATGAGGCAGTTGGGTTAATTGTTAATAGAAAAGTGTATCTATGGAGGTTGTGTATGCGCAAAATCTGCCATGTCGATAGGGTGATGAGAATGATTATCACAGAGTTGGTTTTCTGTGTAGTTTAGTTGTTATGCTGCTTTTAGGGATTTCTGGGAAGTTGCTGTAGTTTATAGGTGATAACTAGCATGTTGCTTTGGTGTTGATTGTTGCCTGCAGGTTGCTATGTGCTTGGACATGTATATGACGTGAGACTCTTATCGGGCGATAAAAAAAAAAAAAAAAATCGCCGTTAATCTATTCTCAAAGTTGGGTTAGGTGCTGGGTCTATTCTACACAAGCTATGATGACTTTCACCTTGATAGTTTATCGTGGATGTATACCTAGCCGAATTGCACTGTTGGTGGTGAAAATAAGTCTTCGAACCTGTGTGTATTCATACTGTGAAATTACCACATCAATAGTGACGTGCCGACATGGATGCAGTTTAATAGAGTGAATCTGATTAATGTTAGCTCCACATCTAACTATTAGGCACCTGTAGAGTTGATGTGTTCGATAAAAACATTTACAAATTAAACTAACCTAGTGATTTTTAAAATTAATGACGATAAATGAAAGTGAAACTGGTGAGCTGTTTGACAAAAAAAAGTGCCCTTCTGAATCAAATCAGCAGGATGCCCTTCTGAATCTTTCACTTACTTCGAAAACATACTGACTACGCTTACATGGACATCTGTAATCTAGTTATTTGCTTTAATAGACAATGATATAATTAAGGTGTTTACATGAAGTGCTTTCATGTAAGAGTTTTCTCTCATTTTTGGTGACTTTAACTGCAATTCAGTTAACTCATGAACATTTCATTCATTGCCCCATGACAAGCTGGGGTATTAGACGCAAATAAGGAGTATAGACTGGTCAGAGTGTTATGGAATTTAATAAAGCCAAACGGAAAGAAAAAAACTTGTGTGCTTGGCTTATGTGTGTGTATGTGTGCTTATACAGACAGCTTGTTATAGCAACCCGGGCTCATTGTGGAAATGTAGCCCAGCGGATGTTTCTGCGGACTGCGAGATACGTCCCGGGAGGTACGTATTCGAGTGATTTTTGTTTTCGCGGATCCTTGAGAGGCCGCTGTGCACGCTTTTTCGCGTCTCGGGTGCCTCTCGGGAGCGCGCGACGTTCGCGCCAGCGCTGTTCTCGTGTGAAAAGCCGCCGGATCGGCCGACCCGGCCACCCTCCTCTTCCTCCTCCTCCTTCCCTAAACCCAAGCGACGGTTTGCAAAAGCCGCCCAGAAAAAAAAAAAAGCAAAAGCCCTCATCTTCGATTTCGACCGCGTTTTCGGATCCCGCCACGTTCTCGCCCTTATTTTTCAGATTCTGTTTTTCGTCTTACCTGATTTCTGGAACCGCTGTTCCCCGGACTCGATCCCGGTCGTCTTGCCCGCGGCCGGCTTCTCCTCCTCCTTTTCGGGGGCCTCCGCCAACGCAACGCTGTGAGCTAAGCAGACAAACTGGTTGCATCGGGAAAGCCCTCCACTCGGAGGCGAGCCGTCGACCGGCGTTCGCTCGAAAAAAACTAAACGCGTCCGTACGTATCTCCGGCCACGTAAATCGCGGTCTCCAGAAACGTCCGCGGGGCTACATTTCCAGAATGAGCTTGGGTTGTGTTATAGGCTGTCTGAACTCAGTATAGCTGGGTGGTTTTCGGTTTTGTTCTTCCCCTGCTCTTTAGTGTGATCGTGCGCAGCGGGTAGAAAATGGGGCAGGTCGGGCAGCGGGACAACAAATGCTTAATATAAGCAAGAGCGGTCGGGTATGGGCTATAACCTGGCGGGTGCGGGCGGGAGCGGGATTCAAAATTTAGTCCCGAGCAGATCTCTATCTTAGACCATTAGTTTTATTGGTGTTTCTCCAGTGGCACATTTTGACTGTTAAGTGGCTGTTTTGTGCACACAGCTAGCCCAAGTATTCTTGAGTATTTAGAAAAACTACTTGTGTGAATGTATGTGTATGTGTTTGGGTGAGTACCAGGTCTGATTTCCTTCCAGACTGATTCATTGTGTTTTGGAAAGCACAGTACAATGCAATCAGCCAAGCATGCAAGGTGTCTGATACACCTTTTCACACTCTCAGAAGGAAGCCTGGCACCAAACAGACAGTTATGGACCACAGGCTGATCTTGATAAAGGCTGAAGGCGTTTATGGTCATTTACAGATAGAGGAAATCAAAATGAGGTGCCAAAAACAGTTTTTTATTTTTAATCATTGTAATTACACACTGAGAATGAGACGGATAAATTGAACTGTCTGGTCACTTATCTCCGCTCATCAAAGTCACACATGCTCATCACTGCCAGCTTAACAGTCTAAATCGAGAGAGAGTTTCTAGCAGAGCAGAAACTTTAGATTATAAATGTTTGTTGCTTGTGGGGGAAAAAAGCTGAAATCAATAACCTACAAGCACAGACAGTATCAATGTGAATGACTTCCACTGTCTGCTACTGAAGCTTTATCAGCTTTTATTGAAAATTATATATAAAAGTATGGTTGTTGTCAGCTACATTTTTAGTAATCATTCATTCATTCATTCATTTTCTTTTCAAATTAGTCAATTTATTAATCTGGGGGTTGCCACAGCGGAATGAGCCGCCAACTTATCCAGCATATGTTTTACACAGCGGATGCCCTTCCAGCTGCAGCCCAGAACTTGGAAACAACCCTACACTCTTATTCACACTCATACACTACAGAAAGTTTAGCTTACCCAATTCACCTATAGTGCATGTCTTTGAACTTGTGGGGTAAACCGAGCACCTGGAGGGAACCCACAGGGAGAACATGCAAACTCCACACAGAAATGCCAAGAGACCCTGCTGAGGCTCGAACCAGCGTCTTTTTTGCTGTGAGACGATCGTGCTACCCACCTATTTTTTATATATTATTAATACTTTTGTTAGTATCTTTGCATTGTAATCATTAGTAATTATATAAATTAATTTAAATAAAAATATGTTATTATAAAAATAATACTTAATTCAGCTAAAATTATTTTAAATGTCATATTTATATTTATATTTTATATATAAAATATATGTAAAATAAAAAAAAGATATAATATATTTAATGCAATATTTATATTATTTTTTGTTATTTCATTATATTTTTATTTTTCATATTCATCATTATTTGGTATTTTTTGGGAACATTTGTTTTTATTTAATTTTAAATATAAATAAAAACTTAAAAAAAATTAAAAATAAAAAAGTTTTTATTTATTTAATTGTTTTTGTTTAATATAGAAAGCATACAGCATATAACTATATCCTAAAACAACCCTGATTACCAACCCCACCAAGGTAGACTTGTTCTATAATAACAGAAGTTAAAAGATTGCTGTAAAAATAAATAAATAAATAAATAAATAAATAAATAAATAAATAAATGAATGAATGAATGAATGAATGAATATATGAATGAATGAATGAATAAATAAATAAATAAATAAATAAATAAATAGTTATACAATAACTTGTCTAATTAGTCTAACCTGCCTAGTTACTGCTAATTAAACTAGTTAAGCCTTTAAATGTCACTTTAAGCTGTATAGAAGTGTCTTGAAAAATATCTAGTAAAATATTATTTACTGTCATCATGGCAAAGATAAAATAAATGAGTTATTATTAAGGAGTTATTAAAACTAATATGTTTAAAAATGTGTTGAAAAAAATCTGCTCTATGTTAAACAAAAATAGGGAAAAAATAAACAGGGGGGTAATTATTCAGGGTGGCTAATAATTCTGACTTCAACTGTATAAAAAGAGGAAGTTGTACATTAGAAGGTGGAAACAAAAGATTTGACAGTATGAAAAATTATAACCCAGGACTTAGCTCCATGTATGCGCCCTGTTGTAAGCTCCATAAAAATAATGTCCAGCAAAGGCCCCACTATATATATCATTATTTGTTAATGATGTGTTTGAGTAAAACACTTTTATTTTGCTTTATTCTATAAACTTCTGATTACATTTTCTAAAATAATGCAAAGGTAACACTTTTATATTATTTTTAGACAGCACAATACCAATGTTATTACGTCAGAAGAGCTAAAAAAAATCTAATAAAATTGGTTAAATAACTCAGATTTTCAATCATAATTATTTACAGTACATGCTTTTGGGATCAATTATTATTTTCTAAGGAAAACAAAATCTAAATGACAATATTAGTCCTTTTATTCATCAGGGGTCGCTACAGTGGAATGAACCACCAACGTATCCAGCATATATTTTATGCAGCAGATGCCCTTCCAGCCACAACTCAGCACTGGGAAACACCCATACACTCTCATATTCACACTCATACACTACAGACAATGTAGTTTATTCAATTTACCTATAGCGCATGTCTTTGGACTGTGGGGAAACCGGAGCACCTGGAGGAAATCCACACGAACACGAGGATAACAAGCAAACTCCACACTAAAAAGCCAACTGGCCCAGCAAGGGCTCAAACCAGCTTCTTGCTGTGAGGCAACAGTACTAACCAGTGAGCCACCATGCTGCCATTCTAGTACTGATTTGTGTTTCTTTGTTTCTTCTTGTTTTTGTAACAGAAATCCTGAACGGAGGTGTGTATGTGGATCAGAATAAGTTCTTATGTCATGCTGACACCATTCATTGGCACGACATCATCAAAAACCCTCGATCTGAACTTCTGGTGGTTCCGTCAAACAACAGCGGCAACACATGTAAGTTGATCTGACTTATTTGAATTGCCTTTTGATGAAAAAGTAAAATATTAATGTCAGCAGTAAATGCATATTTATATTATAAAAAAAATAACTAATAATAATAATAAAATGCAAATAAAAAGGCATTAGTATTAAACCCTGAAGATTTTCTCTTTGGCACGTTGTAAGAGTAATAGTTATAATGTAATAGCAATTTCAGTGATGTATTACATTATTGAAAATCCAATCTAATTAAAAGTGATTACATTTGCACAAGGGAATTATTCTGTGCAGAAAAAAAAATTAAAGAAAAAGAGTGGTGCAGTATGTTGAATGCATTATACTACCAGTAAAATACAAAATAAATTCTAAATTGTTCATATATGTATTAGCTTTATTGAATGAACTATTTTTGTTTGTTATTACATGGAGCACAAAAATGTATGGCTGGTTTTTCTGGATTATTTTCACAGGCAGACGGTGTCACAGATCTTGTAATGGACGGTGCTGGGGTCACCAAGAAGATCAGTGTCAAAGCTGTGAGTTTTTTATTCATCCAATTTGCACCACAGCCATATTATATTGTCTATTCCACACTTTGTTGTCAATTTAGCTTTTTTAGGAATTGAAAATGCTTTTCTGACAGCAAATGAATTGTTAATTATTTATTTATTATTTATTGAGTTCTTTCAGATGTTTCTTAGTGGAAATGAAATCTCACAATCATCAGTGTTTTTACTATTAGGATGCTGTTGATTTGTTAATAGATTTTATTTACAGATAGTCCATTTTTATATTAAATGCTAAACTGTATTATTATTCATAGTTTAAGCATTAAAGGTCTCACAGAGTGCTTTTTAAAATGTGCATTTTTGTCTGCTGCTTGATGAAATTTGATCTTAAACATGACAATGGGAAAAGACATTGAGTAGCTCCTCCCCCTGGATGTGTTACAGTTTGTTTATATGACAGTTATCTCAAGATAGATTTCTTTTACTGCTTACTTGTTTACATACAATATATATATATATATATATATATAGTTGAAGTCAGAAGTATTAGCCCCCCTTAGATTTTTTTTTTTCTTTTTTTCAATAATTCCCAAATGATGTTTAACAGAGCAAGAAAATTTTTCAGTGGGGTTTTGAAGTTATGAATGGTCATTTGTGACATTATTTGTTATAAAGGAATTCATCTCCTATTGTCAGTTTGAGCCTCTGGCTGTTGGCTGTGATAATGATCTGGTAGGAGGTTATCAGAGTACTGTATCTCTGCTGTCTGAAACCTGCTGTTGATGCAGCTCATCGTTTGGGTGATAATTAGAGCCAAATAAAAGAGTGACAAAAAGAAGTACAGAGAGAGACACTGATCGTATTTTTCTCTTGAGTTTGGGATGTCAGAGTGAGGCTCTTTAACTTCACCAGACATCTCAGATGGGTTTGAAGTCATGGACTTTACTGTCAGAGTGACAAACTTGTTATTTGACAGTGTCTGTTTTGGTTTGCACACAGCCTCAATTAACTAATTTAGCTGTCAGGAAAAGTATGCTTTTGAATACAAACAGAATATTATTATATCAGCTGCTGTATCTAACGCAAGTTTGACTTTATCAACTAGATATATAAGCTAAGAATATGATGCAAGTGGCCAGTATGTCAGCATCTCAGCTAAGTGCAGATATTAACTAATTTTTCAATTGATTCTCATGGTAATTCATTTAGAATTTAATGGCTTGTTCGTATGAATTTCTACGATTTAATTTGTAAATTTTTTTAATATGATTTGCACATCCACCCATGACATTTGGAATTAGGGATGGAGTTTGGGTGCCATGCCTACTTAAAAAAAAGTGTATGTATGTGGAAACATAACTATTTTATATATTGTGAGAAAAGTGGCAAATTCATACAATTTCATTTGAAATTGATTTTTTTTTTTACAATATTTAAAAAAAGTTGTTTCCTCATGAGATTGGCCTAGATTCAACATCAACAAGCATATTATGGCAATGACTTTGCAATACATAATGCATATGTGCCGTTTGAACAACTATTGTGCGAAGTAACAGTTTAAATGTATGTTTTATTTCAATAAAAATATAGCAAATGTATTGAAATGTTTTATTTTGTCATTTAATTTATTTATCTGATTGCATTTTGTATCATTATTATTATTATTATTATTTATTTAGTTAGGTACTTTTTAAATTAATTAATTAAATAATTAGTTAAATTACTTATTTATTTATTTATTTTTATTTATTTATTATTTATTTGTAAGTAGTAGTAGTGGTAGTAGTAGTAGTAGAAACAATGCAATATACTAAGATTAGACAAAATTGTTAACTTTTTTTGTAACTAAATTTTCTATTTCTCTCCCCATTTTTATTCATAATCATACAGTGACGAAGACGGTGTGTGCGGAGCAGTGTGACGGTCGCTGTTTTGGGCCATATGTCAGTAACTGCTGTCATCGTGAATGTGCAGGAGGCTGTTTCGGACCCAAAGACACCGACTGCTTCGTATGTCACAGATTCCTTTATTTATACCTAATCTGCATTAATATCTAGTGTAAAAGGGTTCTTACAAATACCTCCTCTATTAGTTTTAAAAATGATTTGACTGCTCATATAAACTTATTCTACAATGCGGAAGTGCAAGTGCCTGTGCTTATTTAGAACTTCTGATTTATTTGACTATGGGGGAAATAAAATAGAACTAGGAATAATAAACAAAAGTAAATCGTCAAACTCATAAAATTAATACTATAATAATAAAATACAAATTTGCAACATCAAAAAGCATAATCCAGCCAATTTGAATGTTATCACTCGATTGAATGGGTGTTATCAGTGGTTATCAGCTGATAGATATGGGCCAGTAGGGGTCTTCTGTGCCTATTAGTAGGCTGAGAAGGCTGTTATCATCCATCCACATGGTTAATCAGCTATAGGTCACATACAGCTGAAGTTAACGATAATTATTTATATTATTTATTAAATTTCCCAATAATTGTATTTTCTTAATGTCTACCCCTACCATAACTCTAAACCCAACCATCACAGTAATGTAAAAACTGATCTGGATGTGGAGTCTTCTCTATTAGTATAGCTGAATAACTATGTGAATGGATGATAACAGCCTTCTGAGTGTGACCGGTCCTCGCTTTACTCTGCGTTGTGTTGTGTTTAGGCGAAAGGAACCAGTCACATGGGAGTTACCAGCCTTTTATTCTGCATGAATAAAACAAACAAATGGCAAAGCTGAGTATGTGCCTTGCTTAGGAGCTCACCAACCTCTCCTCAATCGCGTTTGCCGCGAACTGACATAAATCTGGTTGAAGTGTGTTTAACATACACCTAAAAAAAGAGAGAAACATTATACATAAATTCAAAAACATAACAGAAGCATAAACACATATGTAAACACATACCTGCATGAATAAAACAAACAAATGGCAAAGCTGAGTATGTGCCTTCCTTAGGAGCTCACAAACCTATTAAAGGGATAATTCCCACTACAAAGCTTGCACATTCATGCTTATAAACTTTACCCAAAATACATGCCTCATATACGTTCAACCTCTTATACATGTTTAAACATCAATGTAATGCAATTTACAACAACATTGCATGTGTTATTATGATAAACAACAGTTATATTTTAACCGGAGCTTCAGTAAAACTCACCTCTCCTCAATCGCATTTGCCGCGAACTGAGCGAGAGCAGGCGGAACCGGGAAAACGACACTTAAAGGGGCCACGCACTATTTTCCAAAATACACCAATACATTGAAAACAAACACAACTATGATTTCATTACCTCTGAAATAGAAGATATTCAAAGAACAACTTTGAAAATATGAAATTAAATAAAAGTAATTGATGATTAACAAGGAAAATTTTGAGTGAATTATTATATATAATATAACACCTGTTACATGAGCCTACTAGTAGGCACAGAAGGCCCATACTGGCCTCTATCTATCAGCTGATAACCACTGATAACGCCTATTCAATATAGTGATTACATTTAAATCGGGTTACAAATCAATGGAAGTGAATGAGACCAGAAGTCTCAAGCCAATAAGATTCCATTGGTTGCATCCACCTGTACATGAAAGAATAAGGTCAATAGCTGTCTCTTATTATATTCATGTTTTGTCAGTCATACTCATGCAACTATTTCCTGTTGACAGGCTTGCACCAACTTTAATGACAGTGGCGCCTGCGTGACTCAATGTCCTCAACCATTCGTCTACAATCCAACGACCTTCCAGCTCGAGCACAATCCCAATGCCAAATACACCTATGGAGCTTTCTGTGTCAAGAAATGCCCGCGTGAGTCAGCTTCAATAATTTACTACTAATCCAACAAGCATATAATCCACTTGGTAACTCTTCTTCATGAGCACAAATATGTATGTTTTGGCCCGGTTCCATTTCCAGCTGGTGATGGCATGTTTGTTCACCTCAGATTATCAGTGTGCATCTGTTTCATTAATGCTCTGTTATTCTGCTTTCTGGATCTTAGATAATTTTGTTGTGGACCACAGCTCTTGTGTCAGAGCCTGTCCGAGCAACAAGATGGAGGTGGAGGAAAATCAGACCAAGATGTGCATCCCCTGCACTGACATCTGCCCGAAAGGTCAGGGATATTTGTGAAGGTTGTTTATGTTGCAAAGGACATTTTATACATCATGATGGTACATGAATCCAAGTTCTTTTAGGCTGTGTTAATTCACTTGTTCTCTTTGATTTAGCTTTAGACTTTGCTAATTGTTTTAATAATACTTCCCAGAATGTTAACTACTATTTGATTGTTGCTTTTCTTTTACTATTTTGACAATACTATACTACAACAATACTATTTTGATTGTTGCATGATTTTGCCATCAAATTTAAAACATATACTCAGAAGATGGTTGGCATTTTGACCTATTACTTGTCTGTATTGCTTTAAAACCTGTTTCATATATTTGTTCATGGAATAATACAGTTTTTACAGCTGTGCATTTTTTATACACTTAAGCATCTATAACTTTTTTTTAGTTTTGAGCATTATAAACTCTAGAACAGTGGTTCTCAAACTTTTTTCATCAAGTACCACCTCAGAAAAAAATGGTCTCTCCAAGCACCACCATAATGAGCCGTACTGAAATACTGTAGCGTAGTAGGCACATTAATTCCTATTAACAAGAATAAAATTGTCAGCCACTTTAAACATTATAAATAGTTTGAACATTAACCCTGCACTGTGCTTATATATATATATATATAAATAAATAATAATAAATAAATAAAAACATTAACATTTAAATTAAAATGTGCTTTTAAAAGTTAAAAATGATAAGTTACTGTTCTTAAAAAGTAAAAAAAAAAAAAAAAAAAAAATCCTGTACCCCTGTAAAGTATTAACATAGTAGCCTATTTATCAACACCTAGAAATATTGGCTATATGTCATCATATTTATGTATAAATCATTTTTGATACATTTTTAATTATATATAGCATGCATATATGACATTTGATTCCTCTGCATATCTCTAGAAGGAAGCCCACATACCACTAGTGTTACACGTACCACAGTTTGAGAACCACTGCTCTAGATGATGGATAGTAAAGCCCAAAGTGTCTTCTTTCCAAAGATATCTAAACTAACAATGTAGACCAAATTTTTTTAAGCAGCTTTACTGTTTTAGTCTGGGAAGGTCCTTTATTGAGAAAATGCCTCTGACGATGATGGAGAAAAGGACACTGATATAGTCTCAGAAAACCTTTTTCAGAAATCTTGTTTTGCATGATATCTTCATTTTTAAATATAAGCTCGAGAGGCACTTGGCCTTGAAGGCAATATTTTTTCTAGGTCATTACATGAAGAATTTTGTGTGTTTGTATGTGGAAAATCAAATATTGAAAAAAAAATAGTTTAGTTTTTTAGTTTTTCATAGTAAAGCCCAAATTGTGTTTTCCCCAACTATACCTAATTTTAGTTTGTAGCTCACTTGGGTCAAGAATTGTTACTATTTAAATTTAGGTTGGTGAAAATCACCATAAGTGAGTGCTAACAGACTGTTTTCGGCAGAACATCTCTTATGTGAGAGTAATGTTAAGTTGAGTTGAGTTGAGTTGTTGAGATGAGTTTAGATGAGTTTAGTTTAGTTTAGTTTAGTTTAGTTTAGTTTAGTTTAGTTTAGTTTAGTTTAGTTTAGTTTAGTTTATCAAAATTCGTCTAGCCAGCAACTGTTATCACTTGACTGCTTTTTGTTTGGGTTCAGAGCAGTCGGTCTTGTGTGAAATGGAATGGCTGAAAAGGCTACAATGTATAATTTTTAACCTTGGTCCAGACTACAGGTGTGAAAGCACCCTTACAATTAAAATATGATTAATAAAACTACTAAATATTATACAATTTAAATATATTTGGATGGGTATAATTGCAATATATTTTTAAATATTTATATATTTATTTACCTATACTTTTAATAAATTTAACGTAAAATATAGCAGATAAAATATCTAGTCATTGAAAAAGTTATTTTCAGATCCTGGTTGTGTATACTTTTGACTGATCCGGCTAATGCACTTTGGCATCTGAGACTATCATGATCAAAACAGCAACTGGCTGAATAACTGAAATGAATGGCTTTTCCCCCTACATCAAATTAAGCATTATGTTTCCTTCCATTTATTATGCTTTCAGTGGTTCCTTCTTATGATGTCTCTGAAATTAAAGAACCAGCATATGTTGTGTTTTTTCAATGCTAGTCAGAATGTGCTGCTGGCATTTAAAGCAGGATTTTATTTTATTTTATTTTATTTTGTTTTATTTTATTTTATTTTATTTTATTTTATTTTATTTTATTTTATTTTATTTTATTTTATTTTATTTTATTTTATTTTATTTTATTTTATTTTATTTTATTTTATTTTATTTTATTCATTAAGACTTCCTTGAAGTGTTCAATTGTTCAAACACTATAGCCTTTCAATAGGTCAACTAATCCAGCCCTAACCAGTAGTTTTACATAGTCTAAACTACTATGTACCATATACATGTTCATAATATTAGGAACATAATACATTTATAATTATGAAGCATTTAGAGAGTCAGTTCTATAATGATCCTAACATAGTTTGTGATTAATGAGGGATGACCACAAAATAAGCTGAAATAATAATGTGCACAGACACCAAACTGGGTCATATTAGTCAATCTCAATATGACTCTCATTTGATCATAATTAGGCTCACAATGAGGGGGAAATTGACTCAGTGGATGTTTGAATAACCCTTTCTTCTGTGAAATAACATCAAGTGAATGTCTCGGCTCATCTTACAATGGAGAAATGCATTTCAGTGTATTTATATATGATATTAAAGCATGCTCAAATGCTTCTGGAGTTTTTGTAAAGCAACCAGAGTGCTGTTTTTATATTTATATATCCAACCGGTTGTTATCTCAGAATAAACCCAGACAGCATGAATAGGACCCCTGCACAAAGCAAAATAAATCCTGAATGGGTTTATTTTTGCGATAACTACCAGTTGGGTGTACAACTATTCGACTTAATACATGGCTGCTTCCCACATATAACAGAATTCAGATTGTTGATTTTAGTCATAATATTTGATTTTCTCCAGCAAAGAAAGCAGTTGCTATTAACAGACATGTTTAAACTTCAATGAAATGTAAGGCCTTGCAATATACAATCATTATTATATGGATTTTCGTCACATTCATAATTATGTGGGCAGAATTTATCGATCTGAGATGGAAGTCGTGGCTGTTTGTTATCTAATAATCTGTTACAGTATACAAAACATGTTATGTCAAGAAGATGAACACTAAAGTCAAAGAAGTAATAAAAACCAGCCCGATCTCATTAAGAAAAGCCATAAAAGTGGCCAATTTGTTCAAATTCACACGATTTCATTCATATGAAAGCACACAATTTTCAAAAGTAGACATGCCCCCTAACCCCACCCCTAAGCATACCCCTCAATTAGATCCCTCTACTAATTATGCATTGCCATGAGTTTTTGTAAAAAATACTGCAGTATTAAAAATATATATAATAATAATCAAATACTGCAGTGGCATTAAGTTTTAAATTGTTACTTGTTTATTTTATTTTGTCATGTTATGTTTGTCTTTTTTATTAATTTCATTTATTTATAAGTCTATGTAGCAGTTTTATATTCCGTTTTAGCACTGAAATGTATTTACTTTCAGTTAGATGTTAATGTAACATCATTCATTCATTCATTCATTCATTCATTCATTCATTCATTCATTCATTCATTCATTCATATTCTATTTTATTTTTTTTTGTTTTGTTTAGTTTTGCTTGTTTGTTTGTTTATTTTATTTATTAAATTTATTTTAATTTTGTTTTATTTTAATTTATTTGATTAGTAAAATTGTTTGTGTTATTGTACCACATGTGGGATGTTTTGCGGTACATTTAAAAATAAGTAAATGAAATAAATATTATTTATTTATTTTATTTTATTATTAATTATTACTTTTTTATTTTATGATTTTATGATTGTTTGTTTGTTTATTTGTTTGTGTTATCATACCACAGGTGGGACATTTTGCAGTAAATAAAAAAGTTGATAAATATAAATTTTTCATTATTGTTTAATTATTTTATTTTATTTTATTTTATTTTATTTTATTTTATTTTATTTTATTTTATTTTATTTTATTTTATTATTTATTTATTTATTTATTTATTTATTTATTTATTTATTTATTTATTTATTTTTATTTTTTATTTTTTTTTTTTACTTTTATTTATTTTTATTTATTATTAAAAAATATTTTATTTTTATTGTTTTATTTTATTTTATTGTTTGTTTGTTTGTTTTATTTTTGTTATACCACAGGGATGTTTTGCAGTACATTTCAAAAATAAATAAATAAAATAATTTTTTGTTTGTTTGTTTTTTTTGTTTGTTTGTTTGTTTGCTTCAACCTGAACTTATCCTAACCCAAACGTATCCTGACAAACTATATATTGTTTAATATGTATATATAACCTGGGGTGGCAGTGGCTAATTTTTTGCTTTTTTTCTAGAGTCTCAATTGTGCTGAGTACATTTTGAATGTTATTAATTGGTTTGTTTTTGTGATTCAGTGTGTGATGGAATAGGAACCGGCAGTCTTCAAATGGCTCAAACAGTCGATTCCAGTAACATTGAGAAGTTTGTCAACTGCACCAAGATTAATGGCAACCTAATCTTCCTTATTACAGGCATCAAAGGGTGAGACCAATAGAGCTCGTAATGGCCTATATAACCTTCAGCCTTCAATGCTCTTTAATTTTTTTCTGTGAATAAACAAATAATTGTATTTACATATTATAATAATATACATTTTTAAATTCTTTTTTTACAATATTTTCTCATCAATATAAAAATAATCCATATATAAATAAAAAACTCACACATTTTATTTTATTTTTATTTTTATTTGATTGTTTTATTTTAGTTTATTTTATCTTATCAAAATTAAATGAATTTAAATAAATTAAATTAATTTTTTTTCTATTGAATACAAGAAAAGTTCATTTAAAACCAAAGCTTTTGTTGTTGTTTTTGATGGATCTCAATTGTTACAGGTATTCAACAAATAAAGAAAATACATAAATAACCATTTCAGGGTGATTAAAAAGATACATTTTAATAGATTTTTGCACCAACTACTCCTTAAAACAATCAAAAAGCAGATTTCTAAAACTAATGATAGAATTTATAATCTCTTAATGCACACACACACACACACACACACACACACACACGCACGCACGCACGCACGCACGCACGCACGCACACACACACACACACACACACACACACACACACACACACACACA